TTTCATATTTTTACATGGGAATTTTAGTTATTTACAATTTCTTATTTACATTTGCCTTATTTGGTACCTTTAGTCTAACTTTCCATCCTCTAATTTTTCGGTGGTTTGATACGGCTTTTATGACTCTTTGCCATTTGTTTTCTATTTATGCTGTGAGGAAATTGTCTAGTACGTTTCTCAGTACAGGACTTGAGTTTTGCTATATGAATTACATTTTCCCCTTTATTTTTTGTCATAATTTATAAAGTAGATATAGCCATTTTTAAGCCATGAAAAAAGTTTTAAACTAAAGAACCATATAAAATTATATTATTTAAAAAATAACTTTTATCTTTATTTTATGCAAAACAAGACCTAGTGTGCCTTGCTTTTTAAAACTACCTCCTTTCTCCTCTATGGTTTTCATTGCATTAATCTAAGGTTAAAAACCCTGCTATTTTAAAAAATCTACTTTCTCAAATTTTCTTCTGCATTTTATTTGTTACCATAGCAACAATTATTTCAACCTATCAGCATCAAACAGTCTATACTAAGTGGTATTTTTATTCCGTTATCTCTCTATCTTTAGCTAGTTTCAAGGCTCATTGCCAGTTCTTTCCTTCCATGTCATCATTCATGAGTTTCTGATTCATGTCTTGGTGATTTACTGTACAATTCTGAGCAATTTTTGCAGAAAAGGGAGTTAATTGGGTATGTATTAGTCAGAAACTCTGTAGTTTCAAATGACAAAAAACTAAGTCAAGTTGACTTCAGTAAAAATAATAATAATATATTCAGCTGAGCCTGTGAATTTCAGGCTCAGCTGAATATAGTCTGAAACTATGTCATCAGAAAATTATCTCCCAATCTGGATTTTGTTTTTCCTGTATCATCTTCATTCTCAGGGACTATTTCTCACATCATGGTATGTTTGGCTCCAGACCCAGAATTGCTGCCTTAGAACCCCTCATAAAGGGAGCACCCCTCCCCCAATCGTTTCTTAAAAAGTCTGGGCTGTGTGTCATTGTCCTGGATCAGGTCACATGCCCATCCTTTAAACTAATGTCTGTGACTCTAATTGGGGAGCCCTGGTTCACAGGCTTACAAGAATGCGGAAAAGACAGGTCACCAATGAAAAACTGGGCTGTGCTACCCAGGATAGGAAGAGTCAATGCTGTACAGGCAAAAGTAAAGATGCCCATTGTTTTCTAAGATTCTATTAACTTGTGAGCTGTCACCACCCTAGAGAGACAATAAGAAAGACATTCCAGTGTCCAGCTAGCCATCCATGTAGGTTCTTATTCTTTCATAGTGGCTTAGTTTGGTTTCAGCATTCCAGAGCTTAGTTCTCACCTTTGTGACTCCAGAAATTTGTTGTCACCATGGCTAGATAATTTTTCCCTCTGGGCCTGGCTCACGCTAATCTGACTCAGCAGAGGCTGATGTATAACTAAAACCCTTCTTAGAATGAACAATAATTGCCGCAGGACGTGAATAGCGTTGTCCTCTGGCCAGTGCACTTTCTCTGACAGTAAACCACAAGTGAAGCCAACTCTAATTATAAGTTTGTTTACTTCCTGTGCAACGAGGCAAGAGACATTCTCTGGAGAAAATCAGTGGTTGGGTACATCATGCCATGATAGTGTGGTGGCTTTAAAATGTCCACAAAGGCTGGGAGAGTGGAGAGAGATTTGTCTGTGCTAAGAGAGAAAAACAAAAAGAGAACAGAATAGTCTAGTCTGGCTGGAGCATGGAAGGGCAGAGTAAAAGGAGCTGGAGTAGAGGGACTGGCAGCCAAAGCATCTCTCTCGGAGAGCTTTGGGAGCCACTGACTTCTTTAAGAAAGGGAATTACGTGGTCAATTTTGTTATGGAAAGACTGACTGCATATAAATAAGGAGAAGTCATTGGAGACAGAAAGCAGAACAGTTAGGGCTATTGTGGTAGCCTAAGTAAGAGAGTTGATGCAGCCGGCTTTAAGCAGCAGAATGACAGTAGAAATAAAGCGGGCACATTAAAAACAGCGCTTTTTAAAGTTTAATGAGAACCACCTGGATCTTGTTAAAATGCCGATCCTGATTCAGAGGGTCTGAGGTGGGGCCTAAGATGCTGCATTTCTGACAAATTCCCACATAATGCTGATGTTGCTGGTCTGGAGACGATGTTTTGAATACCAACGATTTCAGAAATGTTAAAGAAATAGAATTGACAGGAGCTTGTGATTGGTTGGGTGGGGTAGGGGTTGGTAGGGTGGTAAAATAAGTTGTTAAGGATCATACTCCAGCTTCTGGCTTGAGTATCTGGGTGAAAGTGATGCTATCCACAGACAGATGGTGAAGAACAGGTCTGGGTGGGGTAGGTTGTAACAACAGATGACATATATCAGATGCTTACTATGTGCCAGGCTCTTTACATATGTTGTCTTATTTATTCCATACAACAAACTTACAATTTGAAGAATGAGGAAACTGAAGGCAAGGTCATACAGGTAGTGACTAGAGCAACCAAGATTCAAACCCTCTGGCAATGTGAGTGTAGAACATGTCGAGCTCACCTTGGGCACTTTGGATAATGTTGAGTTGAAGCGCCTGTGGGAGGGATGTCACACTGAGCTGTGCAGGGGTACGTGTTGAACTGGATGGAGTTCAGGAGAGAGATTCTGAGCAATGATTAAATCTGGGAAGAAGTAAGGCATTGGAGGAAATGAAACCATCTGAGATTACAACCTCACCCCTCAAAGTTCTATCTTGTTCTAGAGTCCTTTGGGCATTTAATTTTAACAGAGGAGGAATCTGAAAGAGAAGTTTTTAGCTTTTTTTTCTGATTGGATAATGTTAGTGTTTTTTCTTTATCTCTGAAATTTAAGAATTTTTCCAAGAATTTATGTTTTGGTCTACAGTTATTAATTTTTCTGGATCCCAGTGAACTCACTCAATGTTCCACCTTCACCTCAGATCCTTTTAGACCCAAGTAAAGTTTTCTTTTATTATAATTTTAATTATTGCTTCTGATTGATTTACTCTATCTCCTTTTGGGAATGTCTATAGTTTCAATCTTCACGATGTCCTCCTGTCCATTTTCTTCTCTCTTAAAGAATTCCATCATTCAGTTGTTTATCTTCCACATTGCTGACTTGCAAATCTGCATCTTACCGCTTAGATCAATGAATTTTACTTTGGTTATTGTGGTTTTAATTTCATTTTACAGTAAGAGAGATACTAAGGAAGACATTCCAGTGTCCAGCTAGCCATTCAAGTAGGTTCTTATTCTTTCATAGTGGCTTCAGCATTCCAGAGCCTAGTTTACCTTGGCCTGTTTATGTTCTAGAGTCCTTTGGGCATTTACCTTGGCCTGTTTTTAAAAGATGCAATGTCCTCTTATAACCAAGAATAAGAATTAGGTGTTTTCTAAAACCGGATTCTGCTTCATGGACTAAATATATTTCGAAGGAGTAATTTTTGGCTCTAGCACTGTCTCTTCTCATGTGCCACATATGTTTTTCCCCACAGGGCTTTTTAAAAAGTTGTTTATTCATCTTTGAGATTGACTAGTTGATCTTTGCAGATGTCTGCAAGTCCAGAGTTGACTGCTTTCAAGCTCAAGGTGTTGCACAAACAGGATGCAGGCTTTTCCATTCTCACTCCCTTGTAAAGATGGCGTGTGAAAGGGCTCAGAAGCAGTGGCTGGATCCTTTCTGTCTTATGTTAGCTATTCTTGGCATTTACCTGCTTCAGATTCCATTTTTATTTTTCAACCTCTGCTTTTGTGACTATTTCTGAGCCTCAGTGTGTATTTCTCATTTTCTCTAGATCTTGATGCTTTGGTTTAGCATTTCTATTGTTTTTTTGTAATTTCATTCATTTACTTTGTAGAGAGAGGGGAAGGGAAGAAGAAAGAGGAGAGAAGCATCAATGTGTGAGATACATCCATCAGTTGCCCTTCACACGCCCCCCAATGGGGACCTGGTCTGCAACCCAGGCACATGCCCTGACTGGGAATTGAACCAGCAAACTTTAGGTTTACAGGCCAGTGCTCAATCCACTGAGCCACACCAGCCACACCAGCCAGGGCACCATCTTAGTGTTCATATATCAGTATATCCTCTAAGTTTCTATCCATCTGTATCACTGTAGGTTTCTGTCTCTGAATCCCATTGTCTTTCTCTAGTGTCTCAACCTACTTCAGCAGGTTCTCAGATAAGGTGGATTGGTTATGATTGATGAGACACTCTAGGAACTTCTAGTTTATTATCAACTAGCCTGTGGTAACACTGGTTTCCTTATGCCTCTTTCACTTGAGGGCTCAGAGACTTTCCACAATGTTGAGGGCTCACTGTACTCCCTAATCTCTTACTCAGCTTTATAGTTCTTCGCAGTACTTATCACAATTTGAGCATTACACATATTGATTTGTCCATCTCCTCCCTCTAAAATGCAACTTCTATGAGGAGTATGTCCAGGAACTTGGTAGGTGCTCAACACACTTGCTGAAGGAACCTCTCTGTCTGATTAGAGAATCCTCCCGCCTTTTGTGTTTCACACTTTCTCAGTATGTAAATATTTTTTCTCGGTTTCGGTCAAGCATTTTGGTTTTAGTTCTGGTGTCAGGAGCTCTTAAGTTTGTGTGGTGAGCCACAGTCTCTACAGGCCTGCCCCAGTCCGCACCTCGTGCGCGGAGCTTCGCAGTCCCTCTCGCGCTGAACCGGGTCGCTCTCTGGCTGTCATGACCACACTCCGAGAATTTCCCTGCCCCTGGCCGTCCCTCGGTAGCAGTCCTGGCAGTTCCCTCCCGACGCCTAGGAGACCTCTCGCGTCTCAACAGCCACCCCCGAACAGACTCAGCCGCCAACACACGTGACTGCGTAGGGCGGTGCCGGTGCCGCTGCAGCCTCCCCGCTCCGCCCAGAGTTCTCCGCTTCCGCCGGCCAGCAAAGCCCCGCCCCCAGGTCGCAGAGAGCCAATCCACACGCACGTTTCTTGGCTCCGCCCAAGCGCCCTCCTTAGCTTGTGCCCCTCCCTCCGCCCGCCGGACCGCCCGTCAGTCAGTCAGGCAGGCAGTTGGTCTGAGCTGCCTTTGGTCTCTGCAGCATTCCTGAGCGCGCCCCCCTTGCTCCTTCTCGGTCAACGGCAGCGGCTGCACCAGCGGCGGCGCGGGCCCTTCGGGAGGCGCGGCGTGGGCCGAGAGACGGTTGCGGAGAGTCAAGCCCAGCGCGGCGGAGGCGGAGGCGGCGGCGGCCCGGCAGCCAACATGGCGGCGGCGGCGGCGGCGGGCGCGGGCCCGGAGATGGTCCGCGGGCAGGTGTTCGATGTGGGGCCGCGCTACACCAATCTCTCTTATATTGGCGAGGGCGCCTACGGCATGGTGTGGTGAGTGTGCACATCCGCCCACCCCACCACTCGGGGCCGCAGTGGACGCAGCTGCGGCCTCGTCCGCGCCTGGGCCTCCCGCGCCACCGCGCCCCCGACCCCGAGCTTCATCGCGGTGCGCGCCCTGGGGCTTCGGGCGGTGCCTGGGGGTCAGTCGAGGTTTGGGTGTTGCTCACGGCGTTTCGCGGGCGGGCCTTCGCTCGCCTCTGAAAAAGGCGCCAGGGGGCGGAGGCCAGGACCTCGGGTCCTGCGGACCCTGTTGCAATCGCGGATTTCAGAGCCAGTATCTCAGGAAAGGAACGGGACCCAGCCCCAAACTTCCAATTTGCCAGCATAGTAGTCTTCTTATTGACATCCCGATTGTAAAGGCGGGAATCCCTCCAGATGCTTGTCTGTTTGCCTCGGCTTGTGTGCAGAACATCGAAATGATAATCTGTTTTCTTGTTCGCCTGTGTTTTCTGTGAACGGCTTTCATTAAATATCTTCAGCGGTGCTAATGGTGCTCTTCTGCGCATGCTTTCTAAAAAGCATTAGTGGCACCAGGGTTAGTTGTGGAATATTTCAGTCTTGAAGTTTTTTAATGGATTTTAATATCCTGCTGTTGACGTTTCGGGAAAGATAAGTCAGCATTGCTCTCTTGACTTATTAAAGAGTCGTTTGGAGTTGGGCCTAATATGATTTTTTCTTTACCCCCAAGTGAGCTCTCTTACCAGCATAAGTGCATCCATACTGTATAGCACAATTACTGTGGACTTTTACGGTAGTGTTTTAATGTCAAGTGTATATGCAGCCTTAACAGAGTTCTTGCAGAGTCATATGCAGGCTCCCTCATCTTCATCCAGATCCCTCAGAAAGGGTGGAATAAGGGTGATAGTACTGTTCTTAATAGAACGAACTAACTTTAGTGTTTTATGCTGATGAAGGCTTGTGGAAGTGTAGACTCCCTGACACCTAAGACTTCATGTGACTGTGTTTTATATTGAAGAAAGGAAACAAGCTAATGTTTATTGAACATTTCATGGCATATACCGTACATTATCATTTTATTGGAACAGCCACCTTGAAGGAGGGAAAGGTGATGATATTCCTCTATCAGGTGAGAAAGTATTTTGATGTGAAGCCAATTCTTAAGGTCATACAACCAAAGAGTCAGACTTGAGATTGTAGCCCGAGATCCTGTTTCAAATGTTGCAGCTCTTTCCATTATACCCTGCTATCCTTAAGTAGTATTACTAATAATTTTAGATTCCAGCATATTTTACTGTTATAAGAAAATCTATTTCATTCAAATTTGAATGATCATAATTTTAGAAATGAAACAGAGGGCATGTTTTGCCAAGTATGTTAGCTAGACAGAGTAGTTCAAATAGAACCCATGACACTTTGGTTCACAGGCCAGCACTCAGTCCTCTGAGCCATACCAGCCAGGGCTAAAATTCTTACCAAAAAAAAAATTTAATTCAATATTGAATATTCTCATTCTGTTCAGTAGCAAAATTTTTCACAGTATATACAACTGTGGAAATTAACATGAACTCAAGAGGCTTAGGAACCAAAAGGGAAATTAAATTAGGGCAGGCTTAAAAGAAATAAGGTACTAGAAAGTAACAGTACTGCCTGCAGCATCATTTCTCTGTTGTAGATCTAATTGCTGTTGAACCTGCTAGTGAGTATGCCAGTAAACATCTCATTATGAGAGGCTCAGAATTGCCCATCATGTCCATTGGCCCTTTTTAAAAAAAATCAGTTTCTAAAACAAGGGCTGAAAAAAATCTTTAGGGCATTTATTTATTTACTTATTTTAGAGGGAAAGGAGAGAAACATCAATTTGTTGTTTCACTTATTTACGCATTCATTGGTTGATTCTTGTATGTTCCCTAACTGGGGATTGAACCTTCAACCTTGGTGTATCAGAACAGTGCTCTAACCAGCTGAGCTCTGTGGCCAGGGCTAAGTTTAGGACATTTTAATTGAAAGGGTTATTCTCCCTGCCCTCCCCATGCCCCCATCTAATAGGATTTTTACTAATCTGAAAATGATTGAGGTCTACTAACTACTCTCACTGCGGTAGAGAAGGTGAAATGCCAAGTCCTCTTACTGTAATTTTCCTTTGCTAAGTAAAATACAAATACAAATAAAGTTGAAATTAAAATTCTGCACCCAGAATGTAGTTTTTTACCTTCAGGTTGATGATAGACACTGGTAAGACTTTAATTTGTGTTGCACATTATTAGCATTTAATAAATGTTGATTAGCAGTGCTGAATTTATGGAGGGCTTCTTGATTGAAATGTTAATACTGAAATAGTGATTTTTTTAAAGTAATGGTTCCAGAAAGTTTTAAGGAGTTTCAAGGTTTTTTAAAAAATTTCCTGAATCAGTTCATTAGGAATTTTACCTTTTCTGTGCAGAGCTCTTTCCTAATCATTATCTGGAGAGTACAAAGATGAAGAGTGAACAGAGTTTGAATTGGGCCTTTAAGAGTGGGTGTGGTTTTGATAGATAATAGGCACCAGCAACAGTGTGAGCAGTGGAATCTAATCATGGATGAGTACTAAGGTGGCAAATTGTAGAGGACTCCAAAGGCAAAACTGAGTTTGTATGTTTGAGCAATGGAAAAGCATCAGTGTTTTTGAAAAGAGGCAGTCACATTGTCAGTTTTAGAGGAAAGTGAACAGTGATGGAAATACTAAAAAAAAAAAAAACTGGGGTGGGGGAATCATTTAGGGTATTGTAACTATCTAGACGTAAAATAATGTAATGCCTTGGAAGGTAGCAGATGGAGATGAGTGATCTTAAAAAGATTGAGTTAGTTACAGGTTCTTTTTAGAAGAGTGGTAGAAAGACTTAATCATGGCAAGTATGGGAAGAAGCACGTGATGATGAGATCTTAAAGGGTAAGTCTAAGACAAGTAGGATTTGGATTTGAGGGGGATTTCTGAGACAAATGGTGGTTAACTGGGTTGGGGCATACATGTTAATTCCTGGGGGTGGAGGCGGGGGGCAATGGTGGTGCTATTATCCAAGAAGGAATACCATAGGTAGAGCAGAAATAATGAGCTCTGGTTTGGATTAAGTTTGTGGTGCCTGTTGGCCATTTAGGCTATATCCATAAGGCATCTTGAAATTTATTAACAGGGAAGTAGAACCTGAAGATGAAAATTTGTATCGAGTTTAGTTTTGCATGAATGGGCACAGATTCTTACTTGAGGTCACTGGTTAGGTGAAATTGCACACAGATGTTGAATATGCTCATCTTTTTAGTAAACTATCCATAGCATTCAACAGATTTTCAAAGGCGTCCATTGTGCCTGAAAGGTTAAGAGCCAGTGAGGTGGAATAGAAAGACTGAAGAGGTAACTCCAGTAAACACTTTACTAGGAGGTAGGCAAAGGAAGAGGAACCTGAGGACTGGTAAGATGTATAAGAATCAGGAAAAAAAGAAAAAAGGATATGAGAAGAAAAATTGAAGCTGTATTTTTTGACCATCTAATTAAGATAAGAACTATCTGCTTTGGATAAGTTAAATTTGAAACACTTTCTGAATATGACTGAGAGGTTATAGGGTTATCTCCTTAGAGAGACTTAATTGAAACCTTAAGAGTGAACAAGATGAAGAAAAATGTGAGAATGGAGCCTGAGGGCAAGTTACAGAAGAGGACAGAGGAAGTGTGGTTAGAGCTCAGAGAACCCTGAGTGCGCATTATGGAAGGAGCAAGGAGGATAGTGGTCCTAAGGGATTGGTATTGAAAATGAGTATGGGACAAACAAAGCAGCCTGAAGACAAAACTGTTGGATTTGTTGACTTTTCAATTCTTCCCGAAAAAACAGACGGTTCCAACATAATTTCATTGTAGTCACATTCCTGATGGTATTGGGTTGGCGAAAAAGTCGTTACATTTTCTCCGTATGGTGCTTAGTTGTGTTTGGTTGTCTTTAATTTCAAAACAATTTTTTAAATTGTGTTGTAACAGTTTTTATATCTGTGCATTTATTTATTAAAATATTTCTTTATTTATAGAGAGGGGAAAGGAGGGAGAAAGAGAAGGAGAGAAACATCGATGTGTGGTTGCCTCTTGTGCACCCCCAACTGGGCACAATGCAACCCAGGCATGTGCCCGGACAGAATCAAACCAGTGACTCTTTGCTTTGCAGTCCACTCAATCCACTGAGCCACAAGAGCTAGGGCTATCAGTGTGCATTTTTTAAAAACTTAACCAAAATTGGTGGATTTTTGTGCAGCCAATTTAATATTGAAGATGGAAGAAAATAGGCAACATTTTCATCATAGTCTGCTTTATTATTTCAAGAAAGGTAAAAAGGCAAGTGAAACACAAAGATTTGTGCAGTGTAAGCAGAAGGTGCTGTGACTGATTTAATGAGTCAAAAGTGGTTTGTGAAGTTTCTTGGTACTATTGACATTTTGGCCAAATAATTCTTTGCTGTGGGGCTGTGTTATGCATTGGAAGATGTTTAGCAGCACCCGTGGCTTCTATACACTAGAAGCCAATAAAGGGAAATAGCCAATATACTCAAAATGTCCAAATCAATAAAGTTATTGGTGAAAATGAAAAATACCTTTTATTTTATGGGAAAAACTAAATGGACTTTTTGGCCAGTCTAATAAAATCCTCTTCTAGTACGGTTTTTGTGATTATGACAAAGTAGAAGAACTACCATTTAGTCAGCACTTTCTGTTGTCATTGTTAGGTTTGGTTTTTTTAAGATTTTATTTATTTATTTTTAGAGAGGGGGAAGGGAGGGAGAAAGAGAGGGAAACATGGATGTGAGAGAGAAACACTAATACACTGCCTCTTGCATGGGCCCTGACCAGAGAGACCAAATCCGCAACACAGGCATGTGTCCTAACTGGGAATCCAACTGGTGACCTTTCCCTTTGTGAGGTGACGCTCAACCCACTGAGCCACACAGGTCAGGGCTGTTTTGTTTTTTTTTAACATACATTAATGAATCCTCATAACCACTCCGCAAAGGTAGTTA